ACGTTGACCAACCGTTGGTAAGTGGTCCCGGCATTTTTCAACCCAAACGGCATGACACAATAATGGTAGGTTCCCCGGTCGGTGATGAGGGAGGTGTGCTCCCGGTCAGACGGGTGCATCAGAATTTGGTTATATCCAGAGAAGGCGTCCATGAAGCTGAGCATTTGATGGCCGGCCGTGGCGTCAACGAGCAGATCTATGCAAGGAGATAATTGTCTTTGGGGCAAGCTCGGTTAAGGTCGGAGTAGTCGACACAAAGTCGCCATTTACCGTTGTTTTTACAAACTAAGACCACATTTGACAGCCATCTGGGGTAGTCCACATTTTTGATAAACTGTGCCTTAAGGAGCTTATCTACTTCGGAAGCGATAAGAGTGTTGCGCTGCGGGTGAAAGATGCGTTGCTTCTGGCAGAAGGGTCGGAAGTGGGGCTCAATACTAAGACGATGGGTTATGAAGGAGGGGTCAATACCCGGCATGTCGAAGTGGGTCCAGGCAAATACGTCATTGTGCTCAATCAAGAGGGCAATAAGGTCGGCCTTTGCTTGGAAGGATAGTTGGCTGTCGATTTTGGCAGTTTTTGTCGGGTTGGTGGTGTCGATAGGGACCTCAACAAGCTCTTCCACTGGTTCTCCTCTGACCAGCTTGTTCTCGTCTTTGACGTCGAGCCCTTCATTAATCATAGCCTCCTTTAACTTGACCTCTTTAAGTGAGGCGACGTAACATTCCCGGACCACGGTCTGCTCTCCTCTTACTGTGTCGACCCCCAAGTCGGGGGGGAACTTGACGGCAAGATGGAAAATGGATGTGATAGCTTGGAAAGCATTTAGGGCGGTGCGGCCGAGGATGATGTTGTAACCAGAGGGACAGTCAACAACAAGGAAGGTGAGTAACTTTGTGATCTGCCGTGGGTATTCCCCGATTGTGATGGGAAGATCGATGGAGCCGATGGAGGTCACCCGATCTCCAGTAAAACCGACCAATGGGGTTTGAGAGGGAACAGACTTTCTTCCCCGATTTTGAGCTGGCAGAAGGCATTTAGGAAGATGATGTCTGAAGAACTGTCGTTGTCGACGAGAACCCGTCTGACCTTGTAATTGGAGAGGAGGGCAGAAATGACGAGAGGGTCGTCATGGGGTAACGGATGCCTGTGCAGTCGGCGTCCGTAAAGGTGATAGGCGCCGTCCACTGCTTGGGCTGTTTGGAGGGTCGGTCCAATATGGCAACTTCTTTGTCTGAGCCCTGCCTTATTTTTCTGAGTTCTGCCCGCTAAACCGAGCGGAATGGTCCTCCACAAGCAAGCCCGCCGGCAATAACTCTGATTTCTCCAACAGGGGGGGCGGGGTTACCTTGTGCCCAGGGTTGCTATGGGGGGCGATCATAACCTTGGTTAGGTTGTTCTGGTTGCCGAAGAGGGGTGCGCCGGCGGTTGTTTCTGATGGGTTCAGTCCTTTGCCTCTGCTGAGGGCGAGTTTCCATGAACCGACTGAGACCATCCCTGACGTATCAAGCCCTCGACCTGATCTTTGAGGTTAACACACTCCTCGGTATTATGGCCGTGGTCCTGGTGAAAACGGTAGTATTTGGACTGGTCTCGCCGATTGGAAGGAGACCGTGACGGTTGGGGCCATTTTAGGGGATAGTCTAGTTGGATCTGGTTGAGGACTTGTTCCATGGGGGAATTGAGGGGTATATATCGTTCAAACCGGCCGGGCAGTCGGGTTGGTGCCGACTAGTCGGCTCAGGGGGGTCGATCGGTATACTGAGGTGTTTGGTTATTATACTAGGTGTTTCTGGTTTCTGGTCCTTTCTCTTCTCTCTGGGGGTCGGGTTTTTGGCTGTAGGATCTTGGCGAGCGGCTAAGGAATCTTCGGCGTTCATGTATTTTTGGGCTTTGGAAAGTAGGGTTGCCATGGAGGTCGAGGGGTTTTTAGAGAGGGAAAAAAGGAAATCGGATGATCTTAGGCTAGCCATGAACGCCGTGAGGATGACCTTGTCATCGTTTTCCGCTACCTACAAGGCTTCGGTGTTGAAGCGGGTGACAAAGTTGCGCAGCAACTCCCCCTCAGTCTGACGGATGTTGAAGAGCTGGGTTGCCGAACATCACTGGCGCTGGGCTCCAATGAAATGGTTGAGAAATGAGTCACTGAGGTGCTGGAAAGTGGAAACAGAGTTTGCTGACAGTTGACTAAACCAAAGTCGAGCCGACCCCTTGAGTGTTACGGGGAAAGCCCGACACATAATTTCATCAGGGAATGCATGGAGAATCATGAGGGTTCTGTAGGTCTCCAAGTGATCGATTGGGTCCGATGTACAGTCGAAAGAGTCGATCGTAGGCATTTTAAACTTGGGGGGTAGAGGTTTGTCCCCGATGGAGGCAACGAATGGGGAGTTGGCTGTGGTAAATGGTTTATGTTGTATGCTCTGCATGACTCCTTGGAGCTGGAGCTTCATGGCTCGGAGTTCTGCATCCCAAAGAGGAATGTTGTCACCACCGGAAGGCAACGGGGGCTAGACGCTACTGGCCTCTCCTTCAGGGGTTAGTACCGGGACCGATGGATGCGGGGCCTGGGGTGGCGGATTTATATCCGGGGGAGGGGGTCGCAAGCCTTCTAAGTTGGGTGGATGGGGCAGCTGGATAGTATGGCTCGGGGCTCGTTCTTGGTTAGGTGGAATATCTGGAGGTGGTGGAGAGGGCATAGGAAGGTTTCTTTGGAGTAGAGCATTAATCAGGGTTTGGTTCTGCTCGGCCAGGCAATTAATGCTGTTGGTGAGCTCGGTAAAGTACTGTGATGGGTTGTTTGGGTTAAGAGGGTCGGCTTGGTGGTCGGCAATATTGTGGTGAGAAGCCATGGATCTAATTGTGACCATCCACCTTGGTAGGCGGCAGGAAAGGGTCTCCGACGATAATAAGCACAACTGGCGCGCGGAGCAAAAGGATTCCCACAAATGGCGCCAACTGATGATGCTGCCCGTTCCAGATGGATCGGGTCGGACTGATCCACGTTTTCCAAACCAATGTTCGAATGACCAAGCCCACAAAGGAACCTGCACAAGAGTTCAACGGGGAACAGGGAGTCCCCCAGTGAACCCTCCGACGGGTACGTTAGAAAGAGAGTTGGAGTATGAAGATACATTAGAGATAGAAAGCTTAGCATTCTTCTTGTCTTTGACCTCTCCTTATATCCTCTAGTAATCATTTCGTTGTCCCTTCCGACCTGCCAACTTGACCGAAAGTCTATGCTCTAACTTGCCTTGTTCATGGTAAGGCCGTTCTGTCTCGACGAGGAGGGGTTATCGCAATAAATGTTGTAAGGGACTTCATTAATGGCTGATATGCAATACAATAACTTTGTAGAATCTTTGTCTGCTTATGTGGCTTGTCCTTCACCTGCCACATGTCTAAGTGTCATTGGTTCTTAATGTCATGTTGAATTCCAACCATGTTGGGCTTCATTAGTTGAATTTTGTATTGGGCCCTAAGTGGTGGGCTTGGGTTGTTCGTAGTGGGTTATAGCCTTTATAGACTTACCGATGTCAATTATTATTATTATTATTATTATTATTAGTTTTTGCCTTCCACTGAAATGATATTTATCATAAATTTATCTATTTTTTTGTGTGCTACTTATTTGTAAGTTCAAAACAAGAAAAAGTAGAAATTTATGGGTTATTTGGGATGACCTAAATAAGTGTACTTTATGTCTTTTTACGAAAAGATGTGCAGAAAAGTAGAGAGGTGATGTGATGAAAAAAAGATAAAAAGATAAAAAGATGGATTATTTTGTGTATGCCAAACTTGGCCTTAAAGTGCCTCTTCACTATTTTTCATAATTAATTTTTTGTTTGGTCTATATTTCTAAAGCCTTGTTTGGCAAGGGCTATATTAGTCTATTTTAGGCTAAAATTCACAAAAAAACAAAATAGGTTAAAATGTTTAATAAGACAAAGTGATGTTTTGGGAAGTTCGTAAAAAGCTGGCTTTGAGCTTTTTTAGCCAAAAAAGCTAGCTTTTTGGGTAATGACTTTGGTAAAAAAGCTAAAAGCTAGCTTTTTGCTAGCTTGCCAAAGCAAATCAAAATGTCACATCAAACCCATAATCATTTCACTTTTTCTCTCAGAAACATCACATCCAACTAAAAAAAATCCAACAATCTTCCCAAACACAAAAATTTTAGCCTACTAAAATAGCCAAAAACTAAAATAGCTTACTAAAATAGCCAACTTCCCAAACAAGACCTAAATAGAAGTTGTAACAAACCTTCTAATAAAAATTTTCACAAAAAAAAAAAACTATAAACAATCTCTTCATGGAAGAGGCCATAGATCAAGTAGATGGATCCTTGGAAGAATAACAAGCTTGCATAATAGATATGTTTATCATAAAGAGATTCGTTGTTCGTAACTCTGCTTCGCCCTAATTGTTATTTGACTGGTAAATTACACCATTGGTCTCTAGTTTGAATGAAATTTTACTTTGGTCCTCGTAATTTAAATTTGAACAATTTGGACTTTACACTTTTAAATTTGTTGCGATGTGGTCCCTCTGGCATTCGTTGTTAGCATTTTGAACTAAAAAAAATAATGTGCAAAACTAGAGAGATCAAATTCTAGCAGCAAGTGATGGAGGAACTACATTGTAATATAATTGAAACTGTAAGATTCAAATTATTTAAATTGAAACTAAAAGACTAAATGACATTTTGCTTAAATTACAAGACTAATGGGCAATTTATCCTTATTTGAACAAGTAAAAGTTACGTCTGAGGAATAGAATTTCTCTTCTACAAACATCTGAGAGATAGAGAGGTAGGAATTTATCGAACCAACGAGTGCATTTAGACTAAGCTTATGATTTCCAATTCTACAAGACTAAGCTTATGGTTTCCAATTCTACAAGTGAACCTACCATACAAATTTCCCAAAATCTAACAGCAATAATACATATATCTCTTGAAATTAATCACAAAACAAAACAAAAAAGGGAAAAAAAAAAAAAAGGGAAAGATTCTTTTAACTATCCAATAATCTCATGCAATGCACAAAAAATCATCATTTTCAACCTCTATATATCGCATCATACCAGAAAAAAACTCAACAAAAGCAACAAAAGAGAAGAGCATAGGATCACCGAGATATTAGATGGACCAAACCGGCTTGTTTGTGAAGAGGAGGAAGAGCCGGGACTAGGGGTCACAAATGCAGTGGCATTTTCTTTAGCACAAGCATAATTGCAGCGGCTGGGACGGACTACTCTGTACACGCCACTGCTTGTTAAGAGGAAAATGTCCTTATTGTTGTCCTCCCCGAATGAGAAAATGTAGCCCAGAGCAGGCAGTGAATTTCCAGGCACAATGCTGCACGGTATAGGTGAGTCATGTGCGCAACTAAAAGAAATTTGGGTAGCTGTGAAGTTCCCGCTGTTTTCAGGGGTTTCGATGCCTGCCCATATAGCAGTGGCATACAGATCTGCAAACAAGTAGCTGCAAAATCCCGGTACTACAGTGTCAATAAGGCTCAACTCCACTGCTAGGGTTAGGGCTGTTTATGGACCAGTTAGGTCAAATTTTGAGGTGAACCAAGAATTAAACCGATTTCTACGGTACTAGAATTTAGGAATCAAACTGAACCATGCAAAAATGGTTCAGTTCTGGTTCGGTTCCATGGTTCTAGCATAAAAAAAAATAGAAAAAAAAAAATCATCATTATAACTATCCAATTCAATAATAATTGATTCTACCTATAAAAGCATTTTAAAAAATCCATACACATTCTTCAAATTTTCAGAATATTCTCCAAACAACCTTTTACTATGCGTAAAAAGATACACCAAATGCTTTGTGTTATATACTAATTAATACAGAAGTGCAATTTTAAATAATATAAGAAGTGTAAAAATCTTATAAATAACACAAAAAACTACATGGACACATATATATCTTTATTTAGAGAAAAAGTGCCTGGAAAAAAACATGAGTGAAGGCTTCATCAACATTAGAATGAGATTGGGAATCAAGAAAGCTAATGAGAAGGACCGCAAGTATGTATGTTTTACCCACTAACATGAAACGGTTCAATACGTATTAATCTGTGACCTAAACTATAATCAACAGTTGTTTATTACCAAAACCTAACCATCCCTTCAAAAACATCGAACCAAACCATATGGTTTGGACCGGCCGAGATCATCAAAACCTCCTTTCATTAATTACTATCAAATGACAGTTAAGGTCCGATATGTATGGCAATGAACACTAGTATGAAGAAGACTCACTCACCTCCCATACATGCATGGATCAGTTGTGGACCGATAGAAATAACCCCCTGTGATTGAGGCCGATCCTTCATTCTTGTTTACATCAGTGTGATTGTATCCCATTACTGGGAAAATTAGCGTTGAGGAATTTACAGATATATTGTTCCCTCCAAGTGACTGTGCAGGAGAGTAAGGATAGGGGCCCTCATAAGCACGCCACCCATAGTTCCCATCCTTGGTGATGAGATCCACTTCTTCATAGAGATCCTATGCCATGTAATATTCCAACATGTTAATAGTAATTCAGAAAACGAAAGGATATACTTTGGATTGTTGAACACAAATGTTTTATGGAATCCGAATCAATTCCTTATGATTTGCAAGGTGTTCGACAAAAAAAAAAAAAAAAAATGGAACAGAAATATGACATAGATACATAACCATAAATGAGATGGTCTATTAAAATTATTGTTTCAAACATGAATTGATAGCTTATAGCAAAAAAGATACTAAAAACTGTATTTTGTTGCTTGAACCCGAAAGGAAAAGGATAATAATAGAGGAGGATGGATTTGTGAGACTCTTAATCAAATACAATCTTGAAATATAATTCACCAAGAACTTACATTACCAGTGCATTTAGACTAAGCTTATGATTTCCAATTCTACAAGACTAAGCTTATGGTTTCCAATTCTACAAGTGAACCTAAATGTAGAATGGAGGGAAATTTAGAGAGTCAGATCCAGGGAATTTTGAAAAGAAATCCACATGGGAGTGAAGTTCTAAATGAAATTACAGAATAAAATAATGTGTACGAGTCAAAGAAAATTACTGACCTCCAATGTTGGCAAAAACTTTTGGGCTGCCAAAATTGTCCTTTTCTTTTTACAAATTTTCTGAATATTTTTTTCATTTGATTTGGTTTCGTACTAAACAAACTGTGAAATTGTCAAATTAATCCTAGCAGTGGGCTGCTAATTTGGTTAAGGGTTTCGATGAGTATAGTCCAAAAGTTCTCCTGAAATTGTATTTACCAAATCTCCTTGAGAAAATGTGAATCTCCAATAAGAACAATACAGATTCAAAAGAGACCAGGTTTTTAGCAAAAAGGTAGGCACATAGAAGTGGAATACTTCAATACCTGTCCAACATCCGCACACATAAAATAAGAAGACCTTTCCGAATCAAAACTGCAGCGCCACGGATTTCTTAGTCCCAAGGCCCATATTTCAGGCTGCAATTGTGTATCTTCAACATATGGATTATCTTGAGGGATAGAGTAGTTTCCCCACAGACCAAGCTGAGTAATTTCTGCAGCACCTAGAGATGCACGACAACCCACAAGTATGTTAAAAGAATTGCAGAAGCTAAAGACTGAATGAAGCAAGTTAAACAGCTTCGTAATATAATTCTTTACTAAATAAAATAAATGAGTTGTGAATGTATTTCTGGGTTCTCCATAGATTACAAAAAGTTGTGGCTTGCCAATGTGAATGAGTTGTGACTTTTAGTTGGTGTGAAATTTCTCTATCCAAATATAGCAAACTCAGTGAAAATTTCATCAATATTTTTCTTCAGAATTTCATATTCATCATATATCTTATTTGATGGATCTCATTGAGAGGATTTCAAAAATACAATTTTTAAATAAAATTGGAAATCTAGAACAAAAGTTACTAAAAAGTTTCGAAATCATTCCAAATATGAAACATGTTTACTGTATTTGTTCCCCAATTTCAATGGCTAATCATCAATATGAGTATTTTTGTCCAAAATAATGCTTCAAAAAAATAGAGAACTAGAACTACCAAGCATTTTTTTTTCTTGTCCTTAAACTAGTACAAACTTATAATTAGGGCAATCCGGCTAAGTCTCCTTCTATTTTTTATTTTGGAAATCCAAAAAAAAATGAAAAAGGAATCTTGTCGGCATAAACTCATCACTTGAACAAGTTCATGCTTATACTTACTTGGAATGTTATCTACATCAAGCCTAATAATCTTTCCAAGCAACGATTTTTTGTTTTGGGCGAAATTGAACGGATCACCTGTACCTCCCCCATCCCCCATCATGAAGTATAAATACCCATCCGCAGGCCCAAAAAGAATCTGTCCCCCATGATGAGATGTAAATGGAAGGCCCATTGTAAATATCCGTCTCACTTCCAATGGTTTAGCACTGTTGCCTGCAAGACAACCAAGATTTAATCACAATCATTGAGTGATGATGAAAAAAATAAAAATAATAACCGGTGTGTACTGATATGTACCAAGGAAGGCTGGGATGCGGTACCATTAACAGTAAACTCCGCAACCACAGATTGATATTGGCATGGTTGAGCACCATTATCAGCAGGTAGCTTCGAAGGATCACAGTTCACATCCGAATTACACGAACATCTTCCGACACATCTGGGCCACTTAACCTTGTCACAATTGAATGAAGCGAAGAAACGCCCGTTTTGCGTGAAGTTTGGGTGAAATGCAATACTCATCATCCCAAATTCAGTATCGAAATGAACTTCATCGGTTAGATCAAGAAATGGATTTGACTCATCAAGCACCAGTGTTCCTCCGGACCCCTCTTTTGGAATGGTTGCCAACCAAATCTTACCAGGCTGGTTGGAGAAAAAGGCGCGACCAGACCCGTCAGGATGAGGGGCCATACTGAGGTAAGAACCATTCCCTATTTTCTCAAGACACATACCGCTCGGAGGACTTGGAGCATCAGTTTTATTTAATGTAACTGGTCCTCCGTCAAAACAGACTGCATCATCTAAGGAAGCTCCACCAAATGCAAGACAAAAATCGGCTTTCGACTGCCAAAAATCAGTTAGTTTGCTGAAATTGGAATTAACCGGTTGTCCTGTTTGACCTTGTAAAGAAGCGGCGAAGGGTGAACTCATAATAGACACATTTTGACAAGTATCCCATACTTTTCCACAAAAGTTGTCTCTTGCTTGGTTAGATTGAGAGTAATCTGCTGAAACAGTAGAGTTGCAGAGTACTGGGACGGGCCGGGGAACAGAATTAATTCTAAATAGCTCTGCTGAGAATTGATCACATCTCTGTAAACCAGCACAATACCAAAATCAAACGACACTAAAATACCGTTGAATGGATGAGATGAAAAAACAGAAACAACAAAACTAATGCTCCAGATGAAGATCACTTTGATGTAACAGTGTTTAGCTATGTATTGGCAACAAATTCATATGGTACTAAGTCAACTCCAACTTTGGCAAGAATTTAAGCAAAAGAAGATAAGTAAATTATTATGCATAGAGCACAAGAACCAAATTTAATAGCCGGTAGGTAGTACTAATACTAGTCGCACGAAATTTGAGGGGAACGATGAGGGAAAAGGAAGGGAAAAAAGAAGTTGGAATCATGGCGCGTGATCTCAGATCTTCTTTGTGAGAATCCTCCACAAGGCTATAAAATTTATAAGCCTGTTGGTGTGTTAGCAAAAGAATCAAAAGGATTTACATGATAGTCAATTGTGAAAGGACAAACATGTACTTGTTAAGACAATTCAATCAATTGTCACTAGTAACATTTTACATTTACTAGAAAAATTCTTAGGCCCTAGATTTAAATGAGTATTTTATACTCACATTGGGAAAAGGTTAGTCAACTAGTATGATACAAAAAAATTGAATGAACAATTTGAGTTTAAATGAGCCAAATACAGCACCCATCAAGCACCCAAGCAATTCATGGGCTAAAAAGTTGAAAAAAATAATAAGCAAATTCATTCTTAATATAGGGACAAATGGAATCTCACCGAACATAGGACCCATTTCAGAAGAGAAGCACAGCCCAGATCAGAGATGTTCATCGCTTTATATTGCTTCTGCAAAAGTAAATCTGCTGCAGAGTCACAGCAGACGGTTCCATTGTAAGGACAAAACGCCAAAGGGGTCGTTGCATTAAAGGGTGCTCCTGTAACATGTAAGGCGGGAATGCAAAAATCAGTTCAGAATTCAAATAGATTACTGCAAATAAAGCACTAAAGCCATAAAAAATGGACTGTGATGATTGAAATCGAAGAAGGGATATGCTGAAACCTACTTGAATCGGTACATAAAGGATGTGAAGAGGAAGGACTAAGAAACAACAGTGAGTTCCAAAATAGGATGGTAATAAAGATAAGACCTCCCATATAACCAAACTGACAGAGTAAACAAAAATTTCACAATACAAACCCTCTTTTCTCTACTCCATCAATCTTATATTGGATTGGTTAAAGAGACAAAACATCAAACACTTGATGGGCTTGAAACACTGTTGCCATCACCCAATACCAACCCTCCAATCTCTCTCTCTCTCAACTCAGCTTCCAGAAGACAAAAGGTCTTTCTGTGTCTTTCTCTCTCTTACAACATCATTTGACAATTTTTTTAAATTTTTTTAATTTGGGTTTTGAGGTATCAACTGGGAAGCCTATACATGGTTGACTTTATCTGAATTCTTTAATATAAAACAATTGGGTAGTTTAGAGAGAACCACTATTTTGTGCAGAAAACCCTTTCTTTTGTATTGTCCACATTATTGATAGCCCCCCATGTCTTCAAGTGCATTCAAACCCTAGACAATATTATATATATATATATATATATATTCAATCCAAAACAGCATATCAATTTTGAAATATGAATGGAACCCACTTGAATTAACATCAGAATAGGATCAAAGAACACCAGCAAATCAGCGGCAATGATGACATCAATTCATCATAAAAATAAAAATAAAAAATTAAAGCAAATAATATATGAGAGATCTGTGAACTTTATCTAAAAATTAGGTTTTTTTTTTTTCTTATAGATAAAGACAGGTAGGTCATCACATGCACATCATTAAGGTCAGACAATCTTGTTTGCTACAAAGCAATTACACAGACATATATATATATGTACATATGCAGTGGATACTCACATTCTTCACATTGAAGATGAATCTAATTTTTCTAAATAAATTTTTAAGGAAAGGGAAAGTTTTCATTGTATGTGTTGGTTTTTCTGTTGAAGGGTTTAACGTAGTTTTAAGAAATGAGGATAGTGAGGCAAACAGGCATCCCTTTGCTTGGTGTTTGTTAGATCAATTTGATTCAAAGATTTCCAGTGGGTCAAGCATGCAAAAATCTCCTTTAGTGAAGCCTAATAAATCACAAAGTCAAATGCGGAAAGCAACCTTTTAGACATCAACTGATGAGTTTTTGTCAAATAAAAAATAAATAAATAAAATAGACAACAAACCGGTTAGTCATAGAACGTTGAAATTGGAAATGTTTTATTTGCCCACAATTTTGGATAGATTACATTTTAGTCATTTTTTTACATTAACTCTTAATTTTTATTTTTTTTATTTGCACTTTGATCCTTTAAGTTTCAAGTTTTTTTCACTTTACTCCTAAATTTAACTTTTGTTCAAAATTAGACAAAATGCCACAATAACTATCACATAACATAAAAAATATATTATTGTATTAGAGTTTAAATTTATGTCAGGCATATGAGTTATATATAATAAAATATTTTTATATCACGTGACTTTTAACGTGTCATTTTATGTCTAATTGTGAATAGAAATTAGTTTTAAGAGTAAAGTAAGAAAAAATTGAAATATGAAAGGCTAAAGTGAGAAAAAATAAACTTTAAGGGTTAAAGTGAAAAAGTAACCAAGTATAAAGGGAACAAAGTGTAATTTACCCCACAATTTTTTACTAGGTTTTACTTCTCTTTGGTTGTAAATTGTAATAATATCAATTTTAAAGAGCATCTGAACTTGATAGCTTGATTTTGGAATCCGATTTTGGTGGTTCAAATTGTTCACTTTTTAGGATTTGTGTTGAATATTATGCAAAAAATCAAGATGATTGAACATTGGTAATGATATGTTTGAATCATATTTGTTTTAGAAAATTGACGACAAATATAATTTCAAGAATAACCATTTATTTTTTGTAATTCAAATAATGTGATTTAAATGTATAGTTACCGATATTTAATTATTTTGATTTTTTACTCAATGAGTCTTAAAAAGTGAACAATTTGGATCACCGAAATCGGTCTCAAAATGAACGTACCAAATCCAAACGTTCTCTTAAGTTGAGATAGCTAACTTGAGAGAAACTAAATCCTAAAAATTACTGTGGGGATATATTTTTGAGTACCGACACGTGGCAAGGTAACGCCGACGTGTCAGCCGAGGTGCCACGTATCAGGGTCATAACGCTGAGGTGATCTCGGTCAAGCCGAGGATATCTTTGAAGATATCGGAATCCGAGATAAGCGGATAAGAGATAAGGGACAAGAGTCCTAGAATAAAGAGAATACTTAGTTAAGATAAGGATAAAGCTCTTAGGGAGTTTATCTCTATCTCTAAAGGAGTCCAAAGTAAGTATTAAACAGGAATCCATAGAAGTCAGGCTTCTATTGGGATTAGGATTGAGGTAACTATAAAAGAGAGGCACCCACGTGGGTCTAAGGTACGCAATTTCATGCTTTGAGCATTGAGTTTAGCACTTGATTTATTTTTTAGAGATATACTGACTTGATCGTCGGAGTGCCCCCGGGTGGTCGAAACCACTGTCGGAATCTTCTCTTTCTGTTGCAGGTCAGCCAGTTGCCATTTATTCTGCCGGTGCTCTCCAGCTGGTTACTAAGCGGGCAGTGTGGTCAGAAAATCACCCACACAATTTGGCACCGTCTATGGGAACGAAAGTAGAATAGATGGCCAGTAATGGACAGAAAGAAAAGATTGGGGACGACACTCCTGTTGGGGGTGGGAGACCTATTGACCTCGATGGCGAAGGAGAAAGGTCGAACGCAGAAACTCATGAACAAAATCACGGAGCGAAAGACGTCGGCCAGACTAGCGACGCACCAAAGAAACCTGGTCAAAGCAGGTACTACAACGAAGACGACCTCCAGGTTTGGAAGGATAGGTGCCTACGGAGGGACGAAGAGGTAAAAGAGATGGCAAACAAATTGGCAGACCTGCAGTCGGTCGTCAATTTCATGATGCAAACTAACATCATGCAGCCACCATACCCGCTGCACGACACGTCGATTCCAGCAGCCAATACCCAGAAGGGAGGACAGAAAACAATCCCCGTAGCCCTCAGCACAACGGAGACGAGAGATACTCTCACCGACCTTCTAGAAAGGACAGACGAAGAGATTCAAGAAGAGAAGGATCACGGAGGACGCATCGCACAAAGGAGGCAAACCCCAAAGGACATCGGCATGTTTAGATAACATCATGCAGCCACCATACCCGCTGCACGACACGTCGATTCCAGCAGCCAATACCCAGAATGGAGGACAGAAAACAATCCCCGTAGCCCTCAGCACAACGGAGACGAGAGATACTCTCACCGACCTTCTAGAAAGGACAGACGAAGAGATTCAAGAAGAGAAGGATCACGGAGGACGCATCGCACAAAGGAGGCAAACCCCAAAGGACATCGGCATGTTTAGGGGCAGGCACTGTGCTTCGACACAACTCATAGAGAAGGATCGAAAAAGGCTCACCACGAGGCTGAGAGTAGTATACCGAAAAGACTGAAGTTGAAAGATAGCCGAGCTCCTGGGCGAAGCAAAGAAGACTTAAGAGATTACCTCAAGAGGAAGTAACAGAATGCCGAAGCTGAGGTAACCTCTCCAGATAAGTCGAGGACACTATTCTCGGTGGAATTAGACAGATTTGAGGCACCAAAGCAATTTAGTATGCCGAGGTTTCAAATATACGATGGAAAGTCAGACCCCAACTTCCACGTTGGACTATATTTGAATTTAATGGCATTATATAGTGGAAACGAGCCGTTGCATTACAAAGTGTTCCCCTCATCCTTCGGGGAGATTGCATCAAATTGGTTCCACAAACTACCGAAGGGAAGCGTGAAGACTTGGGAAGGCCTGGCCGAGATGTTTGTGGCCAGGTTTGTGACAAACAAGTTGCAGCCATTAAGGGTGGACGCATTAATGGCTTTGAAGATTAACAAGGATGAAGGCCTTAAGGCCTATGCAAAAAGATACTATGAGGTGTTCAATCGAATATCCGAATGTAATCAAGAGGTGGCAGTCTTATCTTTCAAGAACGGCTTGAAAGACAACTGTCCACTACGAAAGTCTTTGGCAAAGACATTGCCAAAAAGTATGGAGGAGTTCATGGCGAGAATCGAGAAGTACGCCAGAGCCGAAGAAAACACGTCGGGAACCAGGGAGATAAAACAAGAGAAAGGAAACGGCTCGCCGAAGCGAGGCCGAGATAACAATGGAACGAGCAGGCAAGAGGCAGAACTGAGGGCCACACAAGCAGTAACAACTGTGTTCCGAATCCTAATTCCCAAAGTCCTGGATCAAATTTGGAACCAGCCCTATTTCAGAACACCAGAAAGGACTCTAGGAGAGTTCATGGGAAAAAACATTGGCAGGCATTGTGCCTACCATAATGAAGATGGGCATACAACTCAGGATTGTAGAGCCCTAAAAACATATTTGGAAGATCTGGTGAGACAAGGACATCTGAGAGACCTTGTCGATGAGACCAGAACAAGAGAAGAACGGGCAAGATTGCCTCAGGCACCAACAGCCCCACCTCCCCCAGCACAACAGCCGCAGGCAGGAGGACCTCGGATAATCAACGTAATCCACTCGAAGGTCAACGAAAACGAAATCCGAGGAGAGACCCAGAAAGTGAAACACCTGCAACATGTCTACCAAGTCAGGGAAAAAAGACATCGGGCAGAGGAATGCCAAAGACCAACGATAACCTTTACTGAAGCCGACCTAGAGATGGTCCAGCATCCGCATAATGAAGCCTTGGTAGTATCCCTCCAGGTTAGGGAGTGCCAAGTGAAACGCATCCTGATTGATCAAGGCAGCTCTTGCGACATCATGTACGTCCGATGTTACAAAGAGCTCGGCCTTCACCAAGATGATATGGAACAGTCCAATGGCCCAATGGTTGGGTTCAATGGAACGCCGACATGGCCTCTAGGAGCAGTAAGCTTGGAGGTGCAGGCTGGCACCAGGAAGATCAAGACAGAATTCACCATCATCGACACACCCTCCCCTTACAACATCATCTTGAGGAGGCCATGGCTGCATGCAATAGGGGCAGTTCCCTCAACATTGGATCAACTATTGCGATTCTCAACAGAGCATGGGATAGAAGAAGTCAGAAACGATCAGCTGCAGGCGAAGAATTGCTCCATGGCAGCAATGAAATCTACCTACAGCGTGCGAGAGCCAGAGAAGGCAGAAATTGAAGATGAGGACGTGGAAGTCCTAGAAAACGTCGGCAAAGAGCCAGCCGAGAAGAGCGGAGAGGCACTGAAGAAAATCCTCGTCCAGGATGGGGATGAAGAACGCTTCTTTCTTCTCAGCTCGAGCTTAGCCGAAGAAGAGGAAAAGGAGTTGAAAACTTTTTTGAGAGCAAATATTGAGGTGTTCACTTGGACACCTTACGAAATGCCTGGCATTGACCCCGAGGTCACGTACCACAAACTAAATGTTGACAGGTCAGCCAAACCTGTAATTCAACGAGCCAGAAGACCGACGTT